TTCCAACCCTGATATTCTATGATTCTATGAATTTTTGTAAGTCCATCAGAAGCAGGGAGCATGCCAAACAACCACTGGGGCCACTGGATGATCGAGGTGCCAAAGGAGCACTCAAGGAAGACAAGGCTGTTGCAGAGAATTCTTTGCACCAATCTTCACTGCAGAAGTGAGGCAGATTCCAACACCTGAGTCATTCTTTTAGATGACAAATCTGAGGAACTGTCCCAGATTGAGTTGTCAGTAGAGGAGGTTTTAGAACAAATTGATAAATTTAACAGTAATAAGTCACCAGTATCAGATGGGATTCACCCAAGAGTTCTGAAGGAACTCAAATATGAAATTGCAGAACTACTAACTGTGGTGTGTAACCTATCGCTTAAAACAGCCTCTGTACCAAATGACTGGGGGATAGCTGGCTGATTTCTTAAAAAGGCTCCAGAGGCAATCTTGGCAATTATAGGCTGGTGAACCTAACTTCAATACCAGGCAAATTGGTTGAAACTATAGTAAACAGAATTACCAGACACATCGATGAGCACGTGTTGAGGAAGAGTTAACATGGCTTTGGGAAATCATGCCTCACCAATCTATTTGAATTCTTTGAGGGAGTCAAGAAACATGTGGACAAGTGTGATCCAGTAGATATAGTGTACTTGGACTTTCAGAAAGCCTTTGACAAGGTTCCTGACCAAAGGCTCTTAAGCAAAGTAAGGAGCCACAGGATGAGACAAAAGGTCCTCTCATGGATCAATAATTGGTTAAAATTTAGGAAACAAAGGGTAGCAATAAACAGTTTTCACAGTGAAGAGAGGTAAATAGCAGCCCCCTCAAGGATCTGTACTGGGACTAGTTCTGTTCAACATATTCATAAATGAACTAGAAAAAGGGGTAAACAGTGAGGTGGCAAAGCTTGCAAAATGACTCAGGGTAGTTAAGTCCAAAGCTGACTGTGAAGAGTTACAAAGGCATCTCACAAAACTGTGTGACTGGGCAACAAAATGGCAGATGAAATTCAATGCTGATAAATGCAATGTAATGCACATTGAAAAAATATAATCCCACTATCCATACAAAATGATGGGGTCTAAGTTAGCTGTCATCACTCAAGAAAGATCTTGGAGTCACTGTGGGTCGTTCTCTGAAAACATTTGCTCAATGTGCAGTGCCAGTCAAAAAAGCTAACAGAATGTTAGGAACCATTAAGAAAGGGATAGATGATAAAACAGAAAATATCATGTCACTATATAAATCTATGGTACGCTCACACCTTGAATAGCGTGTGCAGTTCTGGTCACTCCATCTCAAAAGAGAGATATTAAAACTGGAAAAAGTACAGAGAAGGGCAACAAAAATGATTAGGGGTATAGAACAACCTCCATGAAGAGAGATTGAAAAGAATGGGCCTGTTCAGCTGGGAAAAGAGACAACTAGGGAGGATATGACCGAGGTCTATAAAATCATGAATGGCGTGGAGAAAGTGAATTGAGAAGCGTTATTTACCCCTTGACAAAGCAGATGAACCAGGGGTCACACAATGAAATTAATAGGCAGCTGTTTTAAAACTAACATAAGGAAATACTTCTTCACACAATGCACAGTCAACCTGTAGAACTTGCTGTCAGAGGATGCTGTAAAGGCCAAAAGTATAAATGGTTCACAAAAGAACTAGGTAAGTTCATGGAGGATAGGTCCATCAGTGGCTATTAGCCAAGATAATCAGGGATGCAACCTCATGCTCTGTGTGTCCCTAATCACCTGGTACTGGATGAAGGGGATGGATCATGTGACCAATTGTCCTGTTCTGTTTGTTCACTCATTCTGAAGCATCTGGCACCAGCCACTGTCAGAAGACAGCATACTGGGCTAGATGGATCATTGGTCTGACTCAGTATGACCATTTTAGTATTCTTAACTGCAGCATTAATTGTAATCAGAAATGGTCAATGGCATAATTTACTTCTCTCTCCCAGCTTGAATTATTTCCCTCTAATGTCACGGTCTCATTCAACTGCTTAAAGCAGCAGTTCTCAACCCGGGGTCCGCAGGCCGCATGCGGCCCAATTAGCACACAGCTGTGGCCCGGCTGTGCTTAAAAAAAATTCAAAATGTGCTGCTCTGGTCTGAAACGGGAGACAGTGTCTGGCAGCCTGCTGGAGTGCCCTTGCCAGCAGGGTGCAGTAGAATGGGTCTCTGGGCAGGTTTGTGGGGGAGAGGGGTACTCTGAGCAGTGAGGCGGTGGGGGGCGCTGGGAACTAGGGGTTTGTGGGGGTGCTGCAGCACATCCCAGGTTTTAGGCTGCCCAGCCCTGCATGGCCCCATGCAGCGGGGTCCGGTGTCTGGCCCCATACCCAGGGCTCCACTCCTGGCCCCATGACTCTGTGGAGGGGTCTCTGGGCAGGGGCCGCTGGGCAGAGGGGACTGTGGGGAGTTTTGGGGGGGCACGCTGTGGTTCTCAACCTGTGGCCCACAATGATAAATAGGTTGAGAACCACTGGCTTAAAGCATAGCTCAGCAGTGTAGGACTCATGAATGAAATTGTTTTTAGTTATCCTGTACCATTGT